CTAGGTTTCATGACACTGTCGCACAAAAAATAACCCTGGCATTGTGGCGAAGACACACTGTTTTGTCCGTGCGATTGTCACGGCGATTTGGTTGACTCTTCAAGCGCTGCTTCTCATATGTTGTTTGTTTGGCCTTGCGATCCTCTTCCTGCCCTGTCGCGGGCTTGGACTTGTTGTTCGCCTTAGTCTTGGCCGCGGGCTTTTTGAGGTTCTTCTTTGCCATGTGTCTCGGGGCACAACCTCCGGCCTAGACCCTCTCAGAACAAACTAAGTGACAAAAGGCTGCAAGAGACATTCATGCCGCATTTGAAAGCGCAGCCATTTTAGGCCGAACTCTAATGACCTTCGTAAAGCTAGCAGTTGTGTGGTCCGGGAACACCGCTTCTTCATGTGGTTGCGCTCATCGTTCAAATCTTGCCAATTGCTTTCAGAGAAGAAGCATGGCATGTGGCCCAACAACATCCTGCAGGAAGACTGGCTTCAAAAGCACTGCGTGAGTGATATGAGTGTGGTCCCGGAAAAGTGGAACAAGGTCTATGCCTGGATACCCCCCGCGGCAGTACAAACACAAAAAGGGCTGCATCAAGTGGATCAAGATCGATCCGCCTTGCCGGGGACGGGCAACAGGTTCCACCGAATTTGGTTGTGGACATGAGTGTCCCATGAATTTTGTTGCGCTTTTTTGGAACCAACGTTTTTTTCTATGAGTGCCCTTCTTAGTTCGTTTTTCGGTTCGTGTTTCCCCAAACACTTGGTTGAAAAAACAAAAAACAAACTGACTGAGTTTGACGCCTGCGAGAGTCTTCCCCTCCAAAGAAATTTCCTCCAGTTTTCCACAAACGCTGTTTGCAAGTGGCTCTGTTCTGCTGGAAACGTCAATCTTTGCTTGAATCAGGCAAAGCAGGCTGATTAAAACAAACACATCAGAACATTTTTGCGCCAAGCCAACAGAAACTCCAATAGTCCATGTGTCCAGAGGATTCTTCTCTTCGCTTTCATCCTCGCCCATATCAATGTGCGTCTGTGTGTTTGGGGGCAGCCAATCAACCCTCTATTAATAGACATGCTCTTAATCATGATTCAACCAGCCGGGGTGCCATTGTATGGCAATCAACAAGAGGCGTTGTTTTTCCATCATGGCGCATGCCAATCACGACTGAACCTGTCCCTGCCAGGAGCCAGGTAAGGCGACACAGTGGTTGTACCCTGCAACGCAGCAAGGCCAAATTCCAACATCGGGGAGATTTGATCAATGCCGTGGTGCGCGCGCGGCAGTAGCGATCAGCAAGCTGGGGCGCTGAAAAAATGCTGACATTGTTTCTTGAAAGGGTTCCATGGCTGGCGCCTGAGGACAACCTACAATACACTGGAAAGTGCTTTGGTCATGATCTTACTGCGCCAAGCAATTATGAGGGCCAAATACATCAAACTGTTCAGGTGGGTGCCACATTTGCTAACAGTTCAAGTAACACACGTGCTTGCTGGTCCGCGCCTGTTTTCCCCGCACGATGCGCCTCTGCAACGTGACCTACTGGAGTTGCTTGCCTCCCTAAGAGAATAGCTGAGCGGGAGTTTTTTAGGGGGAAACAACTCTATGGGTTATCAGGGACCTTGCTACATTTACAACCCTGCCTAAGAGCCATGGCCCAGAGGGAAAAACTCTATGAGGCCTTAGGGAGCTTGGGGGGGCGCCTCAGAGTGTTCTCTTCATTCAAACTCCATCCGCATTGGTCATTGCCCCACTGCCCGCTGCCAGTGTCAGCGTCATCAGATAAGATCACCAGTCGCTACACTCGTTGAACTGGGACCAGCCGTTGACGCCGTACCAGTCTCCCAGCCGCTTTTGGACCAGCTGGACCAGTTCGGAACTGTATTGGGCGACGAAGAGTTGTCCTTGCTTTGGCCGGCGTTGCCTTGCTATTGCCCCTTGTCGTCGTCACGCCCGCTGCAGTCCTGCAATGAATCTGGTCAATAAAGACTGCAAGAAACTCAGAAATTGTGTCAGTTGCAAACATGTTTGCCACAGAGTGGAAAGCTTGGCAAGTTTACGGTGGACAGCTAAGCACACACGCAAGCTGCAAGTGAAGCTCCTCAATGCTGTTGTGAGCCAACCAGGAGTTTGACCACTTGTGCCAGCAGAAACTTAGTTACGTGGCGCCACGACTCGCAAACCAAGTTTAACATCCTCATCTGGCTTGCAATAAACCAAGGGCATGTCATACGGCGTGGACCTCTTTTCGGTGTGGATGGCGAAATCCTTGCAGCGAATGTTGATCCCGTTCAAGGTCAAGTGCGCCAATCGTGGGCACGTCCCCCGGGCACTGCTGGGGTGGCATGGCAGAATCGGATGGATGGGCCGTCACGCTCGGGGCACGGCGAACAAAGAAATACTGAGTGGTACAGGGGCGATTGCAAATCACAACGTGCAGCAACCACATGATCTGAGCAGAGTCTATGTTCAGCAAAACGGCCTGTCCCGCTGATTATGTTCGCCTCGCAACACACAGCCCCTATTAAAACTTCCCTCATCATGAAACGCTGCTTGTTTTCTGGTTGGATTGGTTGTGGTCAATAACATCCAGATTCAACATAAATCCTCAGTTTGTCACAGGGGCCAGAGTTCAGGTTCTTTCCGGCAGTGACTGCCCCTCTTGCAAAACACATCAGGTTCACCCCACCTTTACGGTCCAAGGCATCGCACATGTCCCTGAGCAGACATGCATTCATAGCCATGCGTTTTACTGGCCCCACATTCTCCAGCTGCTGTTTTATTTTGCAAGCGCCAGGCCTCTCATGCAAAAAGATACCGGGGCACAACCAGCCGGTCAGCCGGGCCAAGGTCACGCGCCAGGCCCAACTCCAAATTAATTTTGAATTTGGCCAAATGAACAAATAATTTCAACGACGGCTGAATGCATCAAACACTTGTTTTGCCACGTAATAGGATGCTTGAGACGCAGCTGCCACTGGCACCCTGTCACACAGACTCACCGCTTGCGTGAAGTTCATGCTGGCGCGTTGTTTGTCTCGCATGGCCTCTAAACGATGGCGCAGAACTCCTCCACGACCACTACCTAACGCGACCGGCTCCTCTCCATCTCCAACGCTTGGGATCCTTCTTCTCCGCTTTTGCTGCAGGCTTGGCGACCTTGCAATCTCCAACGCAGAGGCCCCGGGCCAGGTCCCCGCCACGTGCAGCATTATCCCCGCGCTGCAATGAATTCTGAGCCTTTGCATCAGGAACCCATGCCCCTGCGAGAATTCCGGGCCTTTGCATGCGGAACCCTCTTTGCTTTTTTCGTTTCTGCTTAAAAAGCATGGTTTTCTTGCTCTTGCAGGGAACCCAGGCGTGGCATGTTTGGTCATCCTCTCGGCTGGCATGCTCAGAGTGCCAAGGTAGTTTAGTTTGTGCACGCCTGTCATCTCCCCTCCGCCTTACTTTACTGCGTTGCCGCAGTAAGTGGCTGCATCCATAGCAAAGATGACAAGCCAGAAGATTGCGAAGGCGAAGAAGATGGGTTGCGTTACAAGACCTCCTGTCATGAAGAAGGTGGAACACCAGCGCAAGTGGCCAATCATTGCAGTGGGTGTGGGGCTGCTGGCAAACCCGGGTTGGGAAATGTCTGGATGAGACAGACCAGAAATGTGACCTGTGCATGGCTGGGTTTCCATGCCAGCCTTCAGCCCACTGGGCTTTTTCGACTCCGCAAATCAGCCCTCTGCTTGCTGCGGCTGTTCTCCAATGCAACGGTCCAATTCAGGCTTCGAAAGACAGAATCTCGGCCTGGAAGGAACCCTCAAAATCAGCCCTCTACTTGCTTGGCCGGGCTTCCCTTTCCAAGACCGCGGGGCTACCTTGTAAATGGCACAGACCGCCCTCTACTTGCCTGGCTGGACTTTTTTCCCGCTTCCATGCTTCGAAAAACAGCTTGGCAAAACCAACTAGGCACTGCCCTTCCCACGAATGAAGAAAAGTAAATGGCGCAGCTTGCCTGCCTCGCCTTAAAAACAAAATCAGTGGCTGGACTTTCCGGCTGCTTGAGATGCCGCAGCGCAATTCCATGTGGGCCTGCGATCTCGGCGTGGAAGGCAACCCTCAAAATCAGCCCTCCCCTTGCCTGGGCCTGTTTGCTTTGCGTTAGTTTAGTTCGCTCTTTTTCTTTCCGTTCAGACTTCGCCCCTCTGCGGGTGTGTGTGTGTGCGCGCGCGCAGTTCCTGATCTACCCAGGAACATGTTTCTTGGTGGGGGCGCGGCAGTCTCCTTGAAGCCAGGCCAACGAAGCTATCGAGGATGACTGGATGCATCAAGGGACGCCTTGATGTGTACCTGCAGCAGTCATACAAAGTCCTTTTGGCCCATGGTTTCTCTTGCTGCGTGTTCTTCAAGCCACGATGCTTGAAAACTCGAACCAGCTGGTTCGACAAATCTGCACTCGGAGGCAATAACTTCTCCTTTTGGAGGAATTTAAGTGTGTGCGTGTGTGCGCATGGATGTGTGCGTTGCAGTGCGCGCGTGTGTGACGCACTTGCATATTCATGCGGCGCGCGCGTAAGTCGGCGGGCGGCCGCGACCGTCTACGTCCTTTGTTGTCTGTGAGTGTGCGTGCTTGCGTTCGTGTGTCTTTGTGTCTGTTTACTTCTGTGTTTGCATTTGAGTGTGTGCTTGTGCGTGTGCTTGGGCGCTACGCTGTAAGGTATGTATGAAGGTATGTAGGTATGTAGGTAGGCAGGTAGGTGTGTAGCAAACGCATGTAGGTATGTAGGTAGGTAGGTATGTAGGTATTTAGGTAGGTAGGCAGGCAGGCAGGCAGGTATTTGCGCACGTGCCTGTGTATGCATACGTGTGTCTGTGTTTACTATGTTCATGCCGTTGCGCGTGTGTATGTGTGTACGTATATGTTTGCGTATGTGTTCGCATTTGTGTGTCTTCTGTGTTTCTGCTCGCGAGCGTGAGTGGATTTGTTCGTGTGTTTGTGTGTGTTGAAAGCTAAGGAGCCGGCACATCGTAGGTGTAGAGGCCACCAATGGAGCCCGCAGCAACCGCCACGGGCAGAAGCATCGCAGCCGGAAGGAAAGTCCGAACTGCCAGAGAGCAAAAGGGAGGGGGGAAAAAGCCAGAATCCAAGAGTGTGACAGTAGAACAGGATGCGGCAGTCGCAACTTGTAGATCATCGGAGTGCGCTATGAGCGGCTTTTGTCAGTGTCCTTTTCAAGCTCACAATGAGGCAACAATGTCCTTTTCATAACGGGACATCTGCCAAGCGATTCCTCCCTGAAGCCACGCCAACAGGCGAAGGCGCCCGGCCAAGCACCGCGTCCCACCTTCGTGTTTGAAGACGAAGAGCCTGGCCCAGTGAGTTTCAGCGTTTCGGCAGATGTAAAGCCACGTCAAGCCCTGCATGTTTTCACCAAAAAGAAGCGCCCGGCTTTCGGCCGACGCGCTGAGACAGCGGCATCCCCGCAATCATCAGGAAGGAGAAGGAGAGAAGGATGCAAATGCTGGGCCTCAGCCAGGGCTCGGCGTTGCGGTGGGTGGCATGGAGAAATGCCGGCGCTCAGCCCAAATCATCTTGAATCTTCAAGGGGAGTTTCGGTCGGGCATGTTCAAGTCGAGAAGGATTCGCGTCGCTGGGCTGCCGGCAGCTGCATGAACTCAAAGGTGTAAAACAGCCTGGCCATCAGTCGCACAGAACCGAGTTCCTTCACTCAGCCGCGGTCGCTCCCACAAAACAGCTTCCTTCAGACACAATGCTGCTTACCCCCTTTCCGTTGGGGCGCCAACCGTTTTGCTACCAAAAGCGCCTGAATACGACATTGGGAAAGGCCCTGCCAGCTGCGAAATGTCAACCAAGCCAGGAATCTTCCAACCGAGGCACAGCAGAAAGAGGAAGACTGCCATGTGCGGGGCCCATAGCGCCTGCCATCGCGCATCAAACATGAAGCAAATCCAGTAGCTGTCTGTGTCTATCCAGCAGCATGCGCCATGGCCGATATGTTTGCACTGCGTGCCCCTCCGAAACACGTTCGAACAGTGTCACACATCTGCGCCGGGAAAATTGCCTAGCATTTGTTTCATCAGAAACAACGCACATTGCTAGCTTCTGACACTCATCCCGTGGCCTTGCAGCAAAAAAGAGTGGGGTGTGTTACCTGACACTAAGGCCCGGACCCAGAAGGATTTCTGTCTGAACGAAGCCAAGAAGCCGCCTTGCCTGGGAACCAAAAACAACAACTCGCAGCTCCCAAAACATCATGAGGCCAGCTTGGAGCCGCACACCTGCGGCTTGGGAGGAAAGCCACCGACGTTCATCTTGCCTCAGCTGCAAAGTCTACCGCGCAGGAAAGAACCAAGTTCTGGGCGCAGGGCAAAGTTGGATGGGGCGTGGCTTTCCGCAATGTTACCGTACCGGATATGGAGCCATCACAGCTCGCCAAATGTAACGTCTGATGGAAACGACCAACTGTGTTTTCCCTGTCCTGGAATCCTCCCCGCCTTATCTTTCCATCCCTCTCTCTCTCTCTCTCTCTCTCTCTCTCTCTCTCCCTCGCTGTCTTTCTTTCAATGTATCACTATGTCTCAAATTTATCTCGGTATCGTACTATCTATCAATCTGTCCATCCATCCATCCATCCATCCACCCACCCATCCATCCATCCATCCATCCACCATCCATCCATCCATCCTCTATCTATCTATCTCTCCCTCTCTCTCGTCTGTCTCAGTCGGGCAGCACGTTTGCATCGGCAAAAATCGAGATGTAAACTCATCCAGACAGACGCGCTGCGCGTGTTCTGCGAAAAACCGTGCGGTCAAGCCGGCACGGATCAGCACGCCTGCTCCGCAAGGAAGGCAACACAGCAATAAGCACCTGCTATCAACACACCTTTTTTCGCGGGATGGCCCGCTGTCTTAAGGGGAACCAGCATGAGTTCAGCTATGAGATCACATGAGCTGACAGGCGCAGCGTGCTTCCGGTTTTGGCCGGGTCAAGGCTTCCGCTCACTCCTCCTCGGCTTCCACGCAAAAGACATGGGACAAATATGGTGACGCATCCGTCTGGAGCTTTGGCTGCGCCGAAGGTGTTTGTTTTTGTTCACGCGCCCCGTCAAACCCGAGCATGTCCTTCAATTGATTACGCAACGCTACCAGCGTAAAAAGGGAAATCTAGCTTGCGAAAAATCGTGTGGGATCATTGGAGGACGATTTGACTGTTGGTGTCCTTCAAGGGTGTTGGAAGCAAAGGGCCGGGCCCCGCTTCCATAATTTGACCCACACCCTCCCTCGCGCAAGTAAAATAATTCTGCAATTGTCATATCGTTTGGGAAGGCCTCTGGGACATGAAGAGCCCTGTGGCTTCGGAACTCAGCCCTTCTCATGGCTTGGAGTATCAACACTTGACTAGCAGTGTGGCAGGACAATGCGCTCTTAAGATTGTCATACTTCGCCCCTGGCAAAGGTGACGCTTGCTAGCTCTTAGGCATTTAGGAGGTCAACAAAGGCCCCGCTGTCCAATCAAGAGGCTGGCAATCTTCAGAAGATACCGCGTTCGCCGGGCTATTTAGCTCAAGCTTGGAAAGTGGGGCTTGCCTCAGTCTCTTTCAGCTTGACATGCGCAAATGGCCAGGACGGTGTTTCTTCTAGGCTCTCTCAAGAATGCGGCGAGAGAACCTGTTTTTGACATCTAAAGTGTCATGTGACAGTGCTTTTGCACTTGATTCTATGGTATTGAAAAAGCACGTAGCACGGATCCAAGGTTTCAGCTAAGTCTGTCGATAGAAGACCTCGACAAAAATAACGGCGTTGTGGTCGCATTAGAGCAGACCCCCCTCCCGCACCGCAGCGGGCCCGCCGATTTCTACAATGTACATGGTGACTTAGGAATTTCCACAAAACTTTTTGAAGGGCAAGCCCCAACGGGCCGGCAAGCCCGGCTTGCGCGGCGCGGTTTGCCTCCGGATCGTCGCAGACGCTCAGCACGATGGCCATGAGCTGAGTGCTCCCATAGGCCTCTAGGGCAGCACGTTCCCCTCCCTTCTCCCGGGGGCACATTCCCTTTTCAGCTTCAGATTTTCAGACTCAGGCGCCCAAAAAGACTCCATCAAGCGGCTGATTTGTTCGCGCGTTTCTTCGGCCTTTGATGATTGCTGTTCACCAATGGCTGTTTATGACTAGGCCATAGCGACTTTCAGAGCGCCGTTGCGCACTGTTCCACCCGAGTGTTGCAATGCGCACCAAGAAGGCAACCGCAACCACGCTCGTGTGAACGCACGCGTTTTGGCAGGTTGCTTGCGGTTGCACGCTTGACACACAGTTGGAGCGATGTTTCATGAGCTTGACATCTTGTATGTGACATGTGCAACACATGCCCCACGACTTTGCCCCACATACTTGAATGAGTTTTCAACGCCATGGCTTTTTGCTCAAGATGTGCTCGAAGGAATACAGCCTGCGGTTGCCATGAGTACTGATATATTTTGTGTATTTCTTTGCGGCGCCGTGGTTCGCAAGCCATTGTCAACTGGATACGACTCATTCGCCAGTTCTACTCCTTGCGGAAGTTGCAGAGGCTTTTTCACAACTCTGGCCTTTTTCTGCAGGGCTACAACCGATTGCTGCTGGATCGTTTGTCGAGGCGCTGGCTTTTGCAGTAGTGTCACTGTCGTGTTGGCGTCGTTTGTTTACACATGACTGCTCCTGTGAATGTTAAACGGAAGTTGCAGTTCAACTCCCCTGCTGGTTCGTCCTGAGTTCTTTGATCACCGATGGCGCGGACAAGGGAGAAATTGACGCTGCTTCCAGATTTGCTTGTCAAATGCGCGTGCAGCGACGTGGAGCAGGATAAGCGAATCAGCACGAAAAATGCGGTGGGAGCTTACTCATGAGGCTGTGTGTGACAAATTGCGCTGGTGGAATCATGCAGTTGCAAGATCTGTAGGTTTGCTGCCGCCAATCACAAGTTCGCAGCCGGTAGGACTGTCGAGCCCTCCAAGGGTTTCGGCTGGGAACCGAGGCGGCGCTTGTGAAGTGGAGTGCCCTTGTTGCTGACAATCCTAACGCATGGCACGCAGTGGACAAAGTCAAGGGTGACGATGTTGACACTAGCTCATACGAAGCCATGCTGGACAGGTCTATCAGAGACCCTTTGGCAAACAAAGCAACCTCCACTTTGCACAACTGGGCAGACAAAGGTATGGAGTATTCCCCCATCAAAGAAGGTGTACGCCTTCATTCGAGATGGTATTGCCCATGCTGCGACTTTTCCGAGGTCCCTGATGCCTTCGTTTGCGTTTGCCCACTACGTTTTGGGTCTCAAGCGGGTTGAGGACGTTCTGCCTTCTGGAAGGGTGAAAGGTGCCGTTTCAGAATTCTACGTCAAGAAACGGAGGCTGAGACAGAGACCCCCCTTGCTTGTGGAAGACGCGGTAGCCCTTGACAAGCTTGTCAGCAACGCATGTGCAAATCCAGTCGACAGGCTGGCGGCCGGGTTCTTCCTGTCCTGTGCTTACACACGATGTCGGTACAGCAATTGCCTGTCTATAGATCGGCTGGAGTTGGATTTTGTAGATGGCAAGTTTGAGGACGGTTTCAGATGGCCGGGCAAACGAGATGCAAGAACAATTCAAGCGTGGAGAAGAAGACGCGGTTCTTGCCTGTCGTTGGACTTCTCACGAACTTTTTCGGCTATGAGTGGCAGTGGGCCTGGATGCAGTTGAGAAAAGAACTGGGCCTGGGCGGCCAATCTGGCCCTCTCCTGCCGGCACCAATGAAGGGCGGCGGATTTTCAAAAGCGCCGCTCAAAGCTGGTGAGGCGAGTGACTGGTTGAGACAGGTTCTTAACAAAGTGAGGCCTGGGACAAGTCACATCGAAGAGGGCACCCATTCTCGAAAAACAGCATTTTTTGGCATAGGTACGGGTTGTCATTGAGCGACAAACGTTTGCTCCATAGCGCGAAAAAGGACAAGTCCGCCTTGACGCGCTCGCGTTCTCGTGATGCTGCAAGTGGCCCTCTACGTCGGCTCAGGGAGACGGTTGATGCCATCCATTCGGCCACCTTCAAGCCTGAGAAGACTAGGTCGGGTTACTTCAACCAGCAGTCGAGCGCGGAAGTCCCTCAGCCCAAAGCCAATGACTGTTCCTCTTTGGAATCTTCAGCAAATGAGGAGTCTGACGATCATGATTCAGAAGCTGCAGTGGAAGCCTGCTGAACTCAAACACGATGAAGGAGGTGAGTCTAGGTGCCTCCACATCCACAGGACTGCAGACGAGGCTAATTCGAATTGTGTGCAGCAGGAAGGTCAATCTTCGGTATGTCAGGTTGGGCAACAGACCCGAATTTTTGTACCCGAGTTGCAATCTTTGTTTCAAGAGAGAAAGGTGTGCGGAGCCTGTTGCGGACATGTTGAGAGTTGAGATGCAGGCGTTGAGCTGTGGACATTGGGTGCCCCAAAGTCAGGTGGGGGGGGGGGTGAGCTGGTACCCTTGTGGTAGTAGAGGTCGTTGTTTAGGTCCCTGGATCTATTCCGGAGAGAATCCAATATGCCACTTTGGATGATTGGAGGATGGATTGTCCCTGGTGGATTGTATTCTGGATAATCCTGTAAGCGGCCTGCAAAGGTTCCTTTGTCACGCAATCATGAGTATTGCTATGATACAGAAAGGGCCTTGAGCCAAACGGTTGCGGGAGATCAATTGTGTAACAAACCAAACACAAAACAGACACAAATTTCTTTTGATCTCCAGCACTAGATATGAAATACTATTGCATGCTATATGCCATAGCCATGTGTATTAAAATGCCGGATTCATCCTCTTTTCTGCTCGGATGAAATGTCTTGACTTGCGAAATGGGAAAACACTATGTGCTGCTTCTGTGAGATACCTAGATGTATCAAAAGGTGATGCGCAACACTATGTGCACGCGGGACGAATGTGAAACTTTTGATCTCTCGCTGTATAGTCTTGTAGGCGGTGAGGATCAATCTGATTTGAGTTCGTAGTGCTGAACGTATGAATATTCCTGGTCAGTCGGCTCGATGATACCACCGACGGCTGCTGTCGGATTGACTGCCATAGTCTCCATAATCATTCCAGGTCGAGGCGCCATAGTCCTTCCACTGCTTCTGATGTCCCCACTGCTTGTTGTAGTCCTTGTACTCCTGCAGGGTCCAGGCTTGTTTCTTCTTGAGGTACTCCTGGGATCTCTCAAAATTGCGTTGCCTGGTTGCAGATTTGCTGCGGATGTAAACCATGAGGGGGCTGTGCGAGTCGGAGTCCTGTGAGCCATTCATGAACATGTCATTGTTCACGAGCTTAAAGCGCTCTGCGGATGAGACCTGGTAATCGAATCTGGCCTTTGTTGGATCGTTCCGCATGGCTTCCAGTTGTTCATCATCCATGGCGTTCATCTCGTCATTCCGGAAAGCCTGC